GGAGACTCACTCAACTTTTTATCGCGATCGATTTCATTTCGAAACAAGAATTGAGATTTTTATTTGTATTTGTGTGTGTGTGTGTTTTAGTTTTTATTTCGCTACATATATATTTGCAATCGAAAGTGCAAGTTTGAGGGTTTCCGAGATCCAAATTCTCCGAAGACACACATTGTCAATTGCCGATCGGTCTCCGGTTGAAGGAAATCGTCGTCGCGAGCAATTCGATCCTCTCGTGAAACGATCGACGTGAAACAAAAAAAAAAAAAAAAATGAAACAACAACGAGATGCGCATTAAGAAACAATGCAGCGGGAGTTTCTTGTTTTCTCGGTGTGTGTGGGAGAGAGAAAAAAAAAACTACAACGTCGGTTATTTTAGTGTCGCTAGAAATCGATATTAAAGACGTTACGTCGTCGACCACGTTGTCGTCGTACATGGGATGAGTCGGAGTTGAGAGACTCGCGACGACGACGACGACGACGAAAAAGGAAAAAGAAGAGCGCGCCAATCGGCGACCGTAGGAAAAGAAGAAGCATTTTTGCGACCCGCGCGGGAGAGGCGAATCGATGAATATGGAATAGAAAAAAACGTTTTCACGAGCGCGAATAAAAAGGAAGATATTCGCGCGCGCGCGCGCGCACGCGGGCAGGCTGGTATCACACGCGTGTCGTTCCAGGACCAAGACACGCGCAGTTTCTACTAGTCTCCGGTATTGACGTAGATTCAATTTGATGCTAATGCTTGCAGATGATATACCACAAAGGTATCAGGCCACTGATGAAAGTTAAACAGTCGGTACGCGGGAGCGAATGGCAAAGTGGTATTACAATAACTTTCATATTCTGGCCAAAGTGTGCGCATGAACGGCGAACAATACACGTCAGACGATGATTTTCGTCTCTTTATGAACAATTAATATTCATGAGGAAACAATTACAACGTAAGTATGATATAATATTTATAAATATATGCATATATTATTTATATAAATATATGCATATAATATTTATATAAATATATGCATATAATATTTTTAAATATATATGCATATATTATACATGAGAATTATATTTATATTTTAACAACATACGCATTGTGTATTTGAACAGGTGTTTGGAAAAAAGAGCGTATGTTGCGAAGTTTCAAAATTCATTTTTTTTTTTTTTTTGGAATTCAGTATGATCCAAGGAATAGGTTGGCGAAGTTTTTAGTACTTGTGCAATGCTGCTAGAAATCAGAAGATGCGGAATATAGAGCGATGAGAAAAAACGGAAGAAGGGCATATGCGATCACAAAACTCTCTTAGGCGATTATTGCAACGTGCGACGTTTAATTTTCTTTTTAAATAGGAAAAGAGCATATATGTCACACTAGCTGTCTCTTCCCTTGCTTTGTTTTTCCACGATTTGTTTTTCCGCTCTCCCGCTAAAATTGACGAAACCGAAACGAAAAGTCAACGCTACTTACAAATTTAAAAAAAAAAACAAAATTTATTGTATATATTATATACACACCCCGTATGTAATATTGTATACATTTTGTTTTTGTTGTGGCACCGTATAATAGCCACGTTCTTAAGCTTCTGAGAAAAAACTCATTTTACTTGAATATCTTCACGAACAAGAGATATATAAGTGAGATTAGTTAGAAAAAAAAGAAAGATATTTATTCATTTGCGTGTGCTAAGAAAAATTGTGCAAATTTTTCACAACTTGCACTGCGGGAGTAATTAATTGGTTATCGCGTGTTTTTTAAGCTCGTAAATATTACATGCCACAATTATTAAAAAAAACTATTTTGTAATTGTAATTATGACACTTGACAGTAATCTGTCTTATTGCTAAGACTTTTTTTCTGTATTAATTAAGTAAGATGTAAACTTTATGATAACCGATCAGTGTGACTCATCTGACACTCCTCATCGTCTTCCTCACGACGACTCGCGACTATGTACAATCGAATCATTGATATAAATAGCTACTGGGTGGTAGAGAGAGTCAAATGTTAATATTAGATCTGTAAATATTATCTCAGTTTTTTTTTTTTTTTTGTCAATTTTCATCTCATTCGCGAGAAACAAACTTGTACGTACATTCGCAATGAGTTTTTTTTTCTTCAAAGTTTCATCTATGTAGATTCTGCGTTGCACTTTTTTTTTTTCCCCCCCCCCCAATTTGGTAACTGTACATTTATTATTTGACCCGTTACTTATACATTCTTTTGAAAAATAGATTGAAAATAGATTGTTGAAGTGCGAGCGAAGGATATTATGAATGGATGCGCGTCTTATTTGAAATAAGATGCAAATATGTGGGAACATTTTGCGTGTTCCAAGTGAATATATTGAGTTAAGTTTATCGGAAGAATATCTTAAGAACTTTTTAAAATGTTAAGTTTAAGCACCAATGTTTAAACACAATGTTTACTTAGAAAGATAAAAAAAAAACAAACAAACTCATATTTTCTTATTTTGAACAAGACTATTTAAACATATATTTTATTTGTAAAGAAAAAAACGAAAAGACATTCATTCTCTTATCTTGAATAAACCTTTGTCAACACTTGACAGAATATTTTCGACAGAATGTCGGCGAGCCTCTCCAGAGGCTCCTGTCAGTCGGACAAAACTGGATATTAAAATTGACATTTTTTTTTACCAGTAATATGATCATTCCTCGATAGAATTCGTCTTTTGTATAAACCACGTTGTCGACTTCCTGACCTTTCATCCCTTTTTTTTTTTTTTTTTATCCTTGTCCCAATTTTTCCGATCACCATTTTCCGCGGCAGCGTCGTTTCATCTGTGCGTGCGTCACGTGGCGTCCGCCGTCTCGGCGACAACTCCTCGCCAAGCTCTCTCTCCGTCCGGCGTCTCGTTCTTTTATTTACTTTTATTTCTCTCTCATCCTTTCATTCTTCATCCCGCTCTCCCTTTCTAACGGTTTGACTATGTGGAACGCGAACCGCCCCATTTGCATGGATTTCAATCTCAAAGATCGCGGATCCGAGCGGAGAATCCTGCAGGATAGTAGACGTCGTCGTTACCCCTTTCTAGTCCGAATTAATCACCTGGAGCCGTGCGCACCATCTCCGACTGATATTCTCTCCCTCCCCGGGATAATTTTGAAGTTACTTATTTCTATTATTTGTTTTAATTATTTACACGTATTTATTTGTAGTTTTTGAAAAAAAATAGTTTTACTTATTCAGCGTGAATTTGAACAATTGCGAACACAACGTTAGACAACGGATATTTTCGGTGGATAAATTGGAAGTTTATCGATTTAGATGATAAACAATTATGACTTAAGGCTCGTTGAAAAATTATTAACAAGAAATATATGAGGCCTTACGAGCCTGTGCGTGTATATATATATATATATATATACATATGTAACGAATTCAACTTGTAAATTTTTACAAGTGAGTATTTTTGGAATTGAAATCTCAATTCTTAAATTCATACGGGATGCTGGATTTGCATCTCACGTATGAGAGACCCCGGGATACCCCCTAACTAATTTTAAAATATTGCGAAAAAAACTCCTCGGCCAGGAGTCGATATATATATTTGTTTTTTTTTCTCAAAACATCATCTAAATCAATAACAAGAAATATATAAGGCCTTACGAGCCATTCGCAGGATGTTCGAGCGGAAACTGTGCGTGTATGGCCTTGTATATTTCTTGTTATTGATTTTGAGATGATGTTTTGAGAAAAAAAAAACAAATTGTTCTTAATCAATCTTTCGGTGCAATTACAAATATATGTTTGCAAATGCAATCGGTGAGGTTTTTGTACGGCAATTAGACGAGCTAAGTGCGTATATGTACATCGGAAATGCCGAGTATAAACTGCTTTCGGCGGAACAGAGCGAAGCGAGAACGAAGCGGGCTTTTTACCGCTCATAGAAGAAGGGAGTTCCACGAATGGCGCCCGGTGAAGTTGGGAAAACTCGTCGTACATACACTGGCAACGCTAAGAAAACTTTTAATGAAAATCGAGCAAGACCGCTCTTTTCTATTTCCCCGCGCGATCTTCCGTCTCGGGGAAATAGATTTGAAAATGGTTTTTCGAAAATTCTATCTATCGCGCGGATATATATATATATATATATATATATATATATATACACTACAAATACACGATCTGTATTGTTTATAAATAAAAGCAACGCGCAGTAGTACAAGTGTACGTACGTAGAGTCGATTCTTTTCGCTTTCTATTATATATGTATCTTTCTTACACGATTTTCTGAATTGTAAAAATTAATTTACATTTTACGCGATAACATTATCGAAACAGAGATATAGGAAACGGTCGAACGCGCACAATGTAAATATAATCTTCCGATTTCGCAACTACTACCGAATTCTTACGTAAGTTGTTTTGTTTTCGTCATGCGAAACGTCGTTTCTGTCGGGGGGTTTGTCGGTGTAAACAAGTTCATTCAAATTTCAAATTTCCGCTCTTGTCGGAAATATCAAGATACTATTATTTCGATGCGCAGTCATCGGAAATATGATGTTACAGTCGCAGTTGTAGAAACAATTCCAAAAAAACCAAATCTCTCTTCCTATTGTTTTTCTCTTTCCCTAATCTTACTCTTTCCTTCTTTGCGTTCGCGGCTTTGCGACTCGCGCGCACTTGTATGTAAGGGGGATTCGATTAATAAAATCTCACGCCAGTTAAACGAGCGTCGTAACGACGTCGGCGCCAGAGCGGGCGCGCGATGTGCGAAGGTGTATGTACCACACGATGATGACGCGAGAAGAAGAACTCGCCTGATCCACGGCGATTGAGAGAGCGAGAGAGAGAGAGAAAGAGAGCGCGCGCGCGCGCGCGAGAAAGAGAAAAGGGCGGGAGACAATGAGAGAGAGAGAGAGAGATGGAAAATGACAGTGGCGTGAGCGATCGACGCATGCGCGCTCGCGGCTTCGAAACTCCGCGCGCATTCTTGCCGCGGCCGCGCAAGTCAGTCAGTGGTGCACGGTGGGTTGCGTGGTACGCGCGCGTTGGAAGGTGAAGTTTCCTTCTCTTTCTGACACGCAGTAAGAGACGAGACTCCGAACGGACCGCACGCGTTTCCACGATTTTCCGTCAGTCGTCGGACGAACATTGGCGCGGACACACTTCGCTCGTTCCTTTTTTCCATCTACCTTGTGCCCGCTCTGTAAACCACTTTCTATTCATTCCCTCACGGATCCCCTCCGAAGGACAAGAAGAAGAAGAAAAGTTTTATCGTTCTTTCGAATTCGTTTGCCCGTCTCCCTCCCGCGCGCGCGCGCACGTACATAATATTTCTCTTTCTCGGTAAGACGACAGACTTTTCTTCGACTCTCTGTCGTACGACTCGGTGCGCGCAACCGGAGAAAGAGAGACAAGCGCAAGAAGAGAGCGAACACGGAACATGAAAACACTTATGGAGAATCAGCTGTCCTGGCTCGCGCTGTTCATGACCGCCTTGTATTCCTGTGAGTATATATATCACACGTCATCGCGCGTAAACACACATACACGCGTGTATTTTTCTTGTCACTTGCTGCCATGTCGCGCGCGCCCCCGGCGCAAAAATCTTTGGCGCCGCGTTTTGGATTTTTTGTACGTTTAATTGTTTGTTTGTTTCTTCTTCTCTTCGCACGCGGAGAAGATGCGCGAGTTGTAACAAGCAAATTGTAATTTGTTTTCAATATATGTCTGATCTCGGAGTATGTGTCTCGGCAGATTTATAATAACAAAAATCGTCGTGATCGAAACGAAACGATTTTTCGAATTGGAAGATTTTCTCCGATGTCGAAGTCGTTCGATTATTTATCGTTCGTTTCGTTTCGGATGAGACACACGACAATCCTGTTCATTTCCGTGTTGGATGTTGTTTCGCGTTTCCTCATCCTCAGTGTGATGAGAGAGAATATCCCGACGGTTAACCCATTGTTACACCACGTGCACCACCTCGCTGTGACACGTTACACATCTTGTTTCATATCCGACGTGCGTCCTCTTCGTTGGACGAGACACAACGGGAGAGAGATAGAGAGAGGATGAGAGTCTCCGCGCAAATAAGACAACAACAGATGTCTCGTAATGAATTGCGCGCGATTGTTACGCGTTAATAATCAAGTAAGGTCAACGAAGCGGAAGACGATTTCGCGGAATGCCTCCGTTACTACATGCTTCTCGATCACGCGCGTGTGTCTGAAAATGTGTGATGTAAATGTTTTGCGTGCGCGAATTTGCATTCACGTGTAATATTCGTGATATGACGGCCGCGCGCGCGATACGTCAAAAGAAACGAGCGACGAGAATTTTAATTAATTTTGCGCGATAATAAACGAAGTAGCGAAAACGAGAAGGGTATTTCTGTAGCAAGATTGTAATCGAGTTTTAGCGGCACCGTTCAAACGAAAGCGACGGAATGCGCGACGGATCCCCAAAAGTGTGACGGATCCTTTTAAGCGTCACACGTTTTGGGGATCGTGTAATAAATATGCGCGCGCGCGCGCGCGTGCTTGGGACATCCGTGAAGTCTCTTTCGCGAAACGTAGGTCAAGGACGCGGTTTCAAGTGCATAACGGCGGCGGCGGTGGCGGCGAAGATCGGCAGAGTCGAGATTAAAGCAAAAACGCGCGCGCGCGCGCGCGCACGTCGAATGTAAAGTTATTTTTTCCATTAATAAAAAAGTACATTAGAATGAGGATTCCACACGCGTATATCATTTGCAAAGATTGCAGAAAAAGAAAAATTTAAATACCTCGCGCGATAATTCGCGCGCGCAATTCAATTTGTTTTTTTGTTGCGAAACAAAAAAAAAGAAAAATAATCTCAAGCAAAATCTTTTAGAAATAAGATTTATTAAATGAACCGCGCGCGCGCGCGCGTTTGAAATATGTATGTGTGTGCGTATTCTCGCATATTTTAAATCTCTCATCGAGTCTTTAAACAGAAAAATTTTAAATTATTTCGCGAAATTACTTCGGAGCGAGAAATTAACTTACCTTAGTAGTTCCCGCGGGGATTTCTCGCGGATCTCTCTCTCTCTCTCTCTCTCTCTCTCTCTCTCTTTCTTTCGCTTTTTTTTCTTTTTTTCTTTTTTAAACCTGTACTACCACCTTCGAAGCGAGGGACAAACGATCAGTTAACTACGGTTAAAGTTAACGGCGACACGAGGCGAGAGGTCGGGTCGTAAAAAGGCGGGAAAATTTCGCGCGCGATAGAAAATGTCTCGCCGGGGGTTTAATTCACCGCCTCGTTCGGCGGTGCCGTGTGAACGTAGTAATTAGCCTCACTGTAAAATTGGAACGTTTAATTAGAGCGGAGATTGATACTACACTCGCGCGTAAGCGAGCGAGCGAGCGAGCGAGCAAGCAAAAATTCTTCAAAGTATCGACCAAGTTTTATCTAATTAGGTCGTGGACAAGTTTCGTCGTGCGCGCACTTCTCTCTCCCATGCCCATATCCCCGAAAGCAATGTTCCGAGATTATCGAAGGGAGGTAGGTTTAGATATCTCTCTCTTCGCGCGCGCGCTCAGAGCGAAAAGGGGAAGCTTTCTGTGACAATTAGTCGCCCCAACTTCTGGCCTTATATCACTCACCCTCTCTCTCTCTCTTTCTCGTATCTCGTTGGCCCCCCCGTTTGTCACGTGACAACGAACCGATTTTTGGTGTGGCGTTAAATTAGCGCGAGCGTGATCAAAATTTATTTCTCCATTAAAATTCATCAGGTTGAATTTTTTAAAAGTCGTTTTGTAACAATTTTAAATCGAATTACAGCACACGATTTATTTAGCAATTTAATTAAGTTGAATTCATTCGTCGTCGCGTCGATCGAAAAAAAGAGCTATCGCTTATCTTTGAAATAAACACACGACACGTGTGTGCGTGCACGTTAGAGAGAAGAAGAATCCGAGAAATATTATTCGGACAATCTCTTCTGCGCGCAATCTCTTCCGATGTTGAAGAGCTCCAGAGCTTCTCAAATTTAAAATCACTTTTGCAAGAGAGACGCGGGAGAAACCGCGGGTTGGTTTCTCGCGCGAAACCGCCAGAATTAACACACCGAAACACACGGCTAGATTAATTTCATCGCGCGCGGTGACGCGTTTGTATAAATTTATATATTTGTTAACGCGGCTTTAACTAAGTTCTCGAAAATACTCGTAGGGAGTGGCAATGACGAGAGGGTCGCCTCTATGCGGTTCTTGAATTCATTCACGTGTTTACTTATGTCCCGCGTGATGTACGCAAGAGATCGTGAGAGAGTGTGAGAGTGCGTGTGTGTGTGTGTAAACAAAATGACAAGTAAACAAGATGATCCACCGGCTCTTTCCGGCTCTTCTATAATTAAAACGACAACGGGCAATATATCGCGCGTAAACGCGCGAATAATTAATGAAACATCGATGTGTTGCTCGATAATTCTACGAGCTCTCTCGCGGATCTCGTATCTCGAACTTCGTCGCGGAGATAACAAGCGCACTCACGACGCGACGTTGTGTTGTATATAGTACATGCCACGCGAGCGAATTCTCTCTCGAGAGCGCGAATATAAATTCTCTGACGCGTTTCTCGAGACGCGCGATATCGGGTGTTACATCATCATCAGCCTCGCTCGCGCGTCACTTGCGCTCATTAGATAATTGAAATGTTTACTAATCTGTTTTGCATCCGTATCACGCGTCTTCTCTTATTTGATATTCGTCTCGATTGTTTTATCTCTCTTAAGTATTCGCGATTGATCGCCGCGAAGCGATGAATTCGCGGAATCTTTGCGGCGACGATCAACAAAACAAGATCGTCGTTGTTGTTAATATAAAAAGCGATAAACAAAAAAAAAATAAGTGCGCGAGAAAACAAACCCTTGTTCGACAATCCTCCTCTATAAAAGATCGGTCTTTTTGAGACCGGGTGGTACGCGCGCGCGCGATCTTTCTCTCTGCGCCGAGAGACGAAAATAGCCGCAACGAGACCGCGCTCGGCAACCACGTGGGCCGACTCGCTCCGTTACATCGTACGAGATGACGTAGCGCGTGGCGATTGGCCGAGCGAATGGGTGTGAGCCTCGACTCACCTTTTTTATTGCCAGGCACGCCGGCCTGATGATGATTGTCACTGTGTGTGCACGCGCGCGCGCGTGTGAACTCGCCGCAGCAAACACACACACACACACATACACATCCACTCCACCGTTCGCTCGACATCGCGCTATGTCGCACGTCACACATCGCGCCACACGAAAAGCATCCTGAATACACACTAGCGCCCCGCTATGAGTCGCGTTTTTCCTTGACAACCTGGCGGAAAAGAGTGAGAGAGAAAAAAAGTGCAAAGTGTGGGAAGAGCGGAGGGGAATCACCGTCCGCGCGTCGGAAACCGAGCAAGAGATAGAGAAAGCAACGGACGGACGATTTTTTTTGCTTGTGCTTGTTTTTCGTGTAAGCGAGAGAGCGACGCATTCCACGTCGGGAGTGTTTCGCGCGTAACACACACACACACACACACGCACAGCGCACGCACGAAGAGAGAAGAACTTGTTGCGTAGCGCAACAGAGAGAAGAGACGAAAGCGTCTCCTCCTCACCTTTTTTTTCGCCAGAATCGCGCGACTTCGCTTTGATCCCGTATCTTGCGTCTCTCTCGCTGATATTTTCAGATACGATTCTCTTCCGAGATACGCGCGCGTCTCACTTTTCGTCCGTTTTTTTTTTTTTTATCTTTTGCTCTTCTCTCCTTTTTTCCGAATATGCAACGGCAGTTTTTTTTTTTTTTTTCATTCTAGTCGCTCCTATCTGGAGCTTATCTTCGAGACGCAACGTTGTACAAAGAGAAGCTCGCGTAATAATATAATGAAAGAGCGATAATATATATTTTATATAAAAAAAAAATAAAAAAACACGAAGAGACGCGTGTAATGACGAGTAATAAATGTATAAAGTGGATTAATTATTTATAACGGGTGGATTCCACTCGCTTCATGCATACTTATGACATTTTAAATGCAGAAGAGTGCGCAAGAACAGCTGAAACAAACAGATAGTGCGCCGTTTCTCTCTTTCTCTCTCTTTTCTCTCACAGCGAGAGACAGATCTTTCATTTATGAGAAATAAAATTGAGATGGAAACTGTACCAGAGTCGCGCGCGCGCGCGCGATAGATTGCGCCGGATAAATGTGACAAGCACGGGAGAGAGAGGATACGTTGTTATACAATAATTCAGATTTTCTCGCTAAATGGAATTATTTGCTTAACGATCGAAAAAACCAGAAATCAGATATCGCGTAATATAAAATTGCGAAAAAAAATTCAATCGCGTTAATTTGCGATTCACATTTTTACCGCTCGAGAGAAAGAATAAAAAAAATATGCGACGATATATAAAGATTGTGTAACACGCGCGACGAGTGGATCGAATTGCGCCAAATTTCGAACCTGATGTTTTTTTTCTCTCTTTTACACACGCGCGATTTTCAGTTCAACATT